TCTCTTTCTGCAAAATAGCAGCTTTCTGACAAGAGAAGAAAATTAGCAAAATGTAAGTACTGCATTTCATTTACTCTTCCAACTCTAAAATATACTCAAACATACATAAAAATAATATTAAAGGCCATTCGGTTGCAAAAATAAATAACTTCTTTGTCTTCAAAGATTTTTTTAAAAAAGGGACAGTGGGATCCAAGCATTTTCTGACTTCTAGGAACTGTAAATAGGGAAAAAATAAATATGAACAAAAAAGAAGCTATAGTTTCTTAAGATTGGTCAGTTCCTCAACCAGAGTAGATATTTTCTTTACTCTCATTGTCATCTGGGCCTTTTAACTCCTGAACTGACCAACACAACCTTGTGACCTGGCAGCAGATATAACAAATTCCAAAAGCCAACTTCCAATGTCTAGCTGATTCCTAGTAGATCCATAAGGTGCATGCACAGCAGATGTCTGTGCTCCACAGCCCTGGATGCACACACGTGTGTCAATGTAATTCTCACCAAAGACAGCCTCGTGTGGCAAAAAATCTAGAAACTCTTGAAAGCAGTTATCTCATTGTCCCCAAGCTATTAACAATACCCTCCTGTTGCTACTTAGAGAAAGGGGCAGCCAAATCCTAAGACACCTCCATGGACAGCAACCATCCCATAAGGAAGGTCCAGGCTGTGTCAAAGCCTGGAAATCATGATGCTTTCAAACTTCTTGAAAGCCTTCAGGTCAACTTTGAAGAAGCACCCACATAGGCCTGGATTATGCCTTACAGTGAATTCAGGGGCATTTAAACCCTAAAGACCTGGGCCCACAAATTGAGCCATCACTTAGCAGATGTTAGCCACTGCCAGTGCCAAGCCAAACTGAAAATAACTGGGCACCAACACTAGCAACTGAATGGTAACCAGCTGTTAGTGGTGAGTTTAAGCAGGCCCCATACCATGCTAGGCCACTCACACAGCAGGGACCCATAAGTGTGGCATACAGGTTTTTTGTTTTTGTTTTTAGTAACCAGATGGTTTTACTGAGTCATTTGCCTGTTTTCCATAAAGTTGAATTACTACATTCCTAAAAATCTCTATTTCTAAATTAGTACATTATCCATTGCCATGGTGCTTAAGGTTGAAGATACTCAAAACGACAGTGCTATGCTTTCTTGATACAGGAAATTTCAGTAACAGAGAAAGGAGCAACTGAAAAACATAAATTTATTGAAGAAATTTTTGGAAAAAAATTTCTTAATCAAAGATAGAAATAATATGATTCATGTCAGAGATAAAAATGTTTAATTTTGTTCCCTTTCTCAAGGCAACATGACAATTAGAAGTTTATAAATTATCTATATATATCTTGCTACACTCAACGTAGTACAGAGTAGATGAGATAATCCTTCTAGCAATTATCATAAAACATACACAGATAATGCAACTGAATTAACACTTAACAGATATCTAAGTATTTGCCTTTTTTTTCCTCTACCTTTTGACCCCCTTCACTTATTTCTCTTACATTCAACCCCTCACCTCTGGCAATCATCAATTTGTTCTCTGTATATCTGAACTTGTTTTTTTGGATTTTTTTCTTTTTAGATTTCACATAAAAGATAGATTATACAGTATTTATCATTCTCTGACTTACTTCACTTAGTATAATGCCCCCAAGCTCCATACATGTTGTCACAAATGGCAAGATTTCATTTTTTATGGCTGAATGACATATATAGTAATATGTGTGGGTGTGTACGTGTGTGTGCGTGCATGTATCACAATTTCTTTATCCATTCATTTGTCAATCACACTTGAACAATTTCTATATCTTGGCTATTATAAATAATGCTGCAATGAATGTGGGTGTGCATATAGTTTTTGAATTGGTGTATTCATTTCTTTAGATAAATACCCAGAGTGGAACTGCTAAATATTATGGTAGTTCTATTTCTAGTTTTTCGAAGAGCCTCCATATAATTTTCCATAGTGGCTGAACCAATTTATATTCCCACCACTAGTGCACAGGGTTTCCTTTTCACCACATCTTAGCTAACAGCTGTTATCTCTTTCCTTCTTCATAGCCATTCTAAAAGATGTGAGGTGACGTTTTATTGTGATTTTGATTTGCATTTCTCCCAGTCCATCCTAAAGGAGATCAGTCCTGGGTGTTCATTGGAAGGACTGATGCTGAAGCTGAAACTCCAGTACTTTGGCCACCTCATGTGAAAAGTTGACTCACTGGAAAAGACCCTGATGCTGGGAGGGATTGGGGGCAGGAGGAGAAGGGGACGACAGAGGATGAGATGGCTGGATGGCATCACCGATTCGATGGGCATGAGTTTGCGTAAACTCCAGGAGTTGGTGATGGACAGGGAGGCCTGGTGTGCTGCGATTCATGGGGTCACAAAGAGTCGGACACGACTGAGCAACTGAACTGAACTGAACTGAACTGAATGATTAATGATAGTGAATATATTTTCATATACCCATTGGCTATCTGTATATCTTCTATGAAAAAATGTCTCTTCAGATCTTCTGCCCATCCTTTAATTGACTTGTTTTCCATTGAGTTGCAGGAGTTCTTTATATATTTTGTTTATTAGCTCCTTATCAGATGATTTAGAAACATTTCTCTCATACAAATGTTACTTTTTCATTTTTTTAATACTTTCCTTTGTTATGCAGAAGCTTTTTGGTATAATGCTGCTAAATTTATTTATTTTGGCTTTTGTTTCTTTCGCTTTTGGTGTCAGCTTCAAAAAAATCACTACCAATATCTATGTCAAGAAGCTTACCAATTATGTTTTCTTCGAGGAGTTCTATGGTTTCAAGTCTTACATCCATTTTGAGTTATTTTTGTATGTGGTATAAGATAGCAATAGATTTTCTTTTTTTCTTTTTTTTTTTGCATCTAGCTATTGTTTCCCCAATACATTTACTGAAGAGACTGTCCTTTCCCCCATTGTATATGCTTGGCTTCTTTGCTATAAATTAATTGAACATATATGCATGTGTTTATTTCTGGGCTCTCCATTCTGTTCCGTTGATCTGTGTCTGCTTTTATGCCAGTAGCATATTATTTTGATTACTGTAGCTTTGTAATGTAGTTTGAAATCAGGGAACATGGTAACCTCCAGTTTTGTTCTTCTTTCTCAAGATTATCTTGGCTGTTCAGGATTTTTTGAAGCCCCATACAAATTTGGGGGTTATTTTTCCTATTTGGGGGAAAAATGTGATTGGAGTTTTGATAGGGATTCCACTGAATCTATAGATTGCTTTGAGCAGTATGGACATCTTAAAAATATTGATTCTTCCAATCCATGAGCATGTGCTATCTTTCCATTTATTTGTGTCATCTTCAGTTTTATTTATTAATGTCAGGGTTTCCATGTATAGGACTTTTATTTCCTCAGTTAAATTTTTTCCTAGATATTTTCTTTTCTTGATGCAATTGTAAAAAGGATTGCTTCCTTTCTCTTTCTGGTAGTTCATTATTAGTATATAGAAATGCAACCAATTTTTGTATATTGATTCTGCATCCTTCAACTTTACTGAATTTGTTTATTAGTTCTAAGTTTCTTAATGAAATCCTTAAGATTTTTCTATATGAGTGTCATGCTATCTGCAAATAGACAGTTCTATTTCTTCCTTTCCATCTTGGATGCTGTTAATTTCTTTCTCCTGACTAATTGCACTGGCTAGGTCTTCCAAAACTATGTTGAATAAAAGTGACAAGAGAGCACATCCCTTTAGGTCTTTTTATTTTTATTTTTTATTTTTTTTCATACTTGAGTGATGTTGATATTTATTGACATCAATGCAAAACAAGCTAAGTTGCTATTTAACAGGAACAAATATTGATGCAGTTTCCTTCCTGGAGAGGGTAGGCACTCAGCTCATGAGACCTAAGGTCAAACAAAGACTGGATTGTTAAGAACCAACTAAGGGTTAAACTTTACAAATATAAAAATTGCTAAAGGCAAAAGGAGATGTTTTTTAAAAAAAAATTTTTTACACTAATCTCACATAAGCAAACAAAGAACTAAACTGAAAGTGAAAGTTGCTGAGTTGTGTCCGACTCTTTGCAACCCCATGGACTACACAGTCCATGGAATTCTCCAGGCCAGAATACTGGAGTGGGTAGCGGTTCCCAAACTAATCCTAAAACTTTAGGACAAAACATATCGACATGACATGACTATTTAAATTTCTGCATAAGTGAAAATGTGTTATATCCTTCACTGTACTTGTATTACAATTACATGCTTCTTGCTTCTACACTACACAAAGTCAACATTTACCACCAACAATGACTATAACTAGATCTGAACGAGACTTCACAGTGACTCTGCTCCATTGAAATTTAAGAAAATTCAATCCAGGATTAACAAAACCTTTTGATTTTAAAGCCAGTTCTCCTATCTTCTTCTCGTGTCATACCTAAATAAGTCCTCTCATGACATTTCTTGCCTGCAAACGGCAATGCGTGTCCTCTCCCCCTCAGCTTTGTCTGACACTTTAAATTTGTAGGAACTGCATAAAAAATGAAAATTGTACTTCCAATCTGAACCTGCAATTGGGTTCCTGCTTTAACGCAAAACATACTCCTCTGCAGTGTACCCCACCAGCACAGCGACCCCCTTTCTCTCTCTCTCTATTCCTTTGCCCTGAAGGCACTTCTGGATTGCTTAATTCGTGCTCTTTGGCTGCCTAGACAGTCAGGACACCTAAGGCCATTTGGACCTATCACTCCTCGCTTCCTTCTTTTCTATGGCTAATACCACTTTCCTGCTTTTTTTCTACAGCTGAATCTCCAGACTTGGTGCTGTCATCAGGGGGACAGAGTCGATCTCGGCTTCGAGCTCCTGGCTGGTAAAGCTGCATCGCCGGGCGATCCTTGTTTCTTATGCGATCTCTCTTAACCACTTCTTCTTTCTTTTCCGTTTTTTCCGAGCTGCCTACTGGCTCTGTACTTTCAGGCTTCTTTCCTTTATCCCGAAGTGTTTCTTTCTCCTTCTTCATTTCTTCTTCCTTTCTCTTGAAAGCCTTCTCTTTCTCATAGCGCTCCTTCTGCCTGCGGCGCTTTCCTCCTGCCGCCTCAGCCTCTCTCTCTCCCGCAGGATGCGCTCTTGGTCTCGTTCATAATCCCGCTCCCTCTCCCTGTATTCTCTAGCACTCTCATCTTCAGGTCTCTTAGGCTTTTCATCTTTAAATTCACCCTCAGGACGCTTGGGCAATGTACAACTTTGCCCGCTGGCTCTTTCATCACTCAGATTCTCTTTGTCCAATTTCTTGAGCTTTTCTCTTTTGTCCAAATCTTTTTCATCTCCTTTTTCTGGCTTCTCGAGCAGCTTAATCTTTGGTTCATCCTTTAATTTGTCCCTTTCTGGAACTCTGTCTATCTTCTTTAGCTTTTCTATATCTTTCCGTTTTTGTTTCTCTTCTTCTTTCCACTTCCTCCTCTCTTCTCTTTGTCTTTTTCTTTCTATTTCTCGCCGCCTCCTTTCTTCTCTCTTTTCTTCTCTCATCCTCTGCTTGTTTTTCAGGAAGCTCAAAAGTGGAGTTATCTTTTTAGCTATTAGTTCTCTATTTTTTGCTTCTATTTCCTCTAGCAGTGTCTCTGGAGTAGATGTCATTTTCTCATTATCTGCAGCATAGCTCTCCAAAAATTTTCTATATTCTGGATCATCATCGATAGTCCCAACTTTAGTATCTCTTTTCTTAGTCTTCTTTTTTTGCAGCTTTTTGAAAAGGTGCACATTCTACGATGGCAGGATATTCCTGACCTTTATTGTCAAGGAATACATAACCATCAAAACGATCCCTGAACAAAATAATGTCCTCTTGGTTTTTAAAGTTGATGTATGCTCTTGCATACATATGAGGATACAAACTGAATCACTGTCCCTGAAGAAAGTTGGCCTTTAAAAGATGAGATCACTTACCTTGCTCAACGCCTCTTTCTTCTCCTTGTTCCGATCCTGCTTATCTTCCCCTTTGGTGCTGTCTCCCGAAGCCCCACCGCCGCTGCCTGTAGCACCTGGGGGAGTCAAGAGGGTTACTCGCTTCTCCTTAGGCCTATGCTCCTTCTCCTCCTTCATGGCCACAGCTTCGCTCCGCACCGCGGTAGCTCGGCCTAAGCGCCGTTACGCCGGGTACCTACGACTCCCTTTAGGTCTTTTTATATTTCCTTTATATGCTGAGGTACTCCTGTGTTGGATGCATAAAGATTTACAAATGTTTCATATTATTATTGACCTCTTCATTGTTATGTAATGCCTCTCTGTGTCTCTTATTACAGTCTTTGTCTTAAAGTCTATTTTGAAAAAAAAATAAATAAATAAAGTCTATTTTGTCTGATCTATGTGTAGTTACTTCAGCTTTCTTTTGGTCTCCATTTGCATGGAACATCTTTTTCTATCCCTTTGTTTTCAGTCTGTGTCTGTCTTTACATGGAAAGTTCTTTGTAGGTAATATATTGATGAGTCCATTCTACCACTGTAATGTCTTTGAATCAGTGAATTTAGTTAATTTTTATTTAAAGCAATGATAGATACGTTAGTACTTACTGCTATTTTGTTCATTTTTTATGGTTGTTTTTGTAGTTCTTTTCTGTTCCTTTCTTCTTCTCTTGCTCTTTTCCTTTGAGATTTAAAGACTTTCTTTAGTGATATGCTTAAACTCCTTTCTCTATTTTTTGTGTATTTACTATAAGATTTTGCTTTGTGGTTATGATAAGAGTTACATATAACAACTTGTATCTATAATAGTTCAAGTTGATAACAATGTAAGTTTAATCCCATTTTAATTCAAAGTTCAACATTTTTACTGTCTTCGCCTAATATTTTACATTTTTATGGCACATTTTATATCTTTTTATTTTGTGTATTCCTTAAATAATTAATGTAATCATAGTTTTTATTACTACTTTTGTCTTTTAACTTTTTACTAGCTTTATAAGTGATTAACCACTAAATTTACCTTTACATTTACCTTCTCAGTGAGATTTTGTTTTCTTGTTACTAATTAGTGCCCTTTCTTTTCAACCTAAGGGAGTCCTTTATCATTCCTCATAAGGCTGCTTTAGTGGTGATGATCTCCTTCAGTGTTTGCTTGCCTGGGAGCCTCTTTATCTCTCCTTCAATTCTGAATATTAACTTTACTGGGTAGTGCATTCTTGGTTGGAAGTTTTTCTTTTGCCTTCAGTATTTTGAATATATTGTGCCACTCTCTTTTGGCATGCAATGTTTCTGCTGAAAAAATCTGTTAATAGTCTTATGGTGGTTCCTTGGCACATAACAAGTTGCTTTTCTCTTGCTGCTTTTAATATTCTGTTCTTGTCTTTCACTTTGATGTTTTAACTATAATGTGTCTCGATGGGCTCTTTGGAGTCATCTTATGGGGAATTGTCTGGGTTTAACAGATCTGAATGTCTATTTCCTTATACAGATTGATAAAGTTTTAAGCCATTATTTCTTCAAACAATATTTCTGCCCCTTTCTCTCTTATTCTTTTGGGACCCAATAATGTGAACTTTATTTCATTTGATGTCCATAAGACCTTAAGCTATTTTCACTTTTTTCCATTCTTTTCTCTTTTGGCTACTCTGATTGAATGAATTACACTGCCTTTTCTTCAAGTTGACTAGTTCCTTTTCTATGCTTTATTTTTTCCTACTGTGAGCCCGTCTAGTGCATTTTTCTCTTGGTTATTATATTCTTCAGCTCTGTGACTCCTATGTGCTTCCAGCTCAAGATAGTGACATGGGAATATCCTGAAATTACCTTCTCCCATGGATACACTGAGTCTACAGCTACATATGGAACAATTTCTTCTTAAATGAAAACTAAAGGCTGGCTGTGGCTCAGATGGTAAAGCGTCTGTCTGCAATGCAGGAGACCCAGGTTCGATCCTTGGTTTGGGAAGAGCCCTTGGAGAAGGAAATGGCAGTCCATATGGGGTTGCCCCAAATACCCCACTCCAGTATTCTTGCCTGGAAAATCCCATGGACCATGGAGCCTGGTAGGCTACTGTCCATGCGGTCACAAAGAGTTGGACACAACTGAGCAACTTCATTTCACTTCACTTCAAAGGCTGGGTGAGTGATGACTTCACATTGGGAAAGCAAGAACAAAACCACACCGAAATGCATAGAAGAGGCTGGAACACAGTCTCACCATAAACCCCATGCCTACAACCAGGAGGAAACTCAAAAGCCAGAGCTTCTCCCTAAGGAGCAAATAGTTTAAACCCCACATCAAGCACTTCAACTTTTAGAATCTGTACCAAAGAGAAAAGACCCCAAAACATCCAACTGTAAAAATTAACAAGGCTTGTGTGCTGAGATCCGTAAAATTGCAGCAGACTGAGAGACAGCTCTTAAAGGACCCAAGCTCAGACTTACCCACTTCTGAATCCAGCTCAGACACAGCAAATTTCTCCCATACTTAGAGTCAGGAAGGATCATTTGCTTGTAATAAGCATTCCCCTGACAAGCAGGCATCTAATTTAACATATTCTAGAAGCCTCCTGGAACACTCTCCAGGGATAGAGACTGCAAGGCACTATATTTTCTCTCTCCCTTTGTCATGCTTTAGAGTACCAGTGTCTTAGAGAAGGGAAATTTTTTGTCTGGTGCCTTGATCTCTGCAGCTGCCACCCAGGGGACATTTCCTGGCTGCCTGGCTCTGGAGGCCAGGGAAGCTTGTGTTTTTGGTCCCATGGGACCATAATAATTGGGGTCCCACAAAGGACTTCATATCTCTGTCTGGCACCCTGATTTTTGTGGCTCTGGTGACCAGTAGGACCTACACTTGTGGCTCTCATGAGACTGTAAACCGTGAAGAAAGAATTCTTAAACAACTACCACCTCCAGGGCACAAGAGGCAACAGGCCCAGGATGTCAGTCTTCCTGTGAAAGAGACCTATTAGTTAATCATCAGGGCTGCAGTCTGAAGGTCAGATTTCTAATTAAGCAGTCCTTAATTAGGCGCTGACAGCAGTCCTTTCCAGGGATCACAGAGGGTAGGTGCTATCTTCATATTCTCCCTCTGCCATGCCCAGACCACCACTGTCTACTAAATAGGAGCTTTATATGCAGCTGGTGCCCTGGTTTTCACGTCTGGTTTTCACCCCAATTTTTGCAGCTATAACCCAACCCCCTTGATTGCCTAGCTCTTGCAGCCAGGTAAACTTGAATTGTTAGGTCCCACAGGACTAAGATAATCAGAAAGATGGTTCTTGGCAGGCTGCCACAACTAGGGCCCTGAGCAGACAGCGATTGAGTCACAACTCATAGTCTTTCTGTGAAAGAGACCTCTTTGCTTGTCCTGGAGCTTCAGTCTGGCTTCAGGTTTGGCACACTTCTAGTGTCAAAACATGTAAATGTAAGAACACCAGTTAAAGGAGTGACTCATTATCAGCTGTTCCCTTTGGCTCAAAGATCCACATGGAATCTAACTTAGCTTGTGAGTTAGGCTGAACTACATAGAGCTACATGTCAATTGCTGATCAGTTGCTAAGTCATGTCTGACTCTTTGTGACCCCATGGACTGCAGCACACCAGGCTCCTCTGTCCTCCAATATCTCTCAGTTTACTCACATCCATATCCATTGAGTTAGTGATGCTTTCTAATCATCTCATCCTTTGTCTCCCCCTTCTCCTTTTGCCTTCAATCTTTCCCAGCATCAGGGTCTTTTCTAATGAATCAGCTCTTCCCAGCAGGAGGCCAAAGGATTGGAGCTTCAGCTTCAGCATCAGTCCTTCCAATGAATATTCAAGGTTGATTTCCTTTAGGATTGACTGGTTTGATCTCCTTGCAGTCCAAGGGACTTCCAAGAGTCTTCTCCAGCACCACAATTTAAAAGCACCAGTTTTTTGGAGCTCAGCCTTCTTTATGGTCCAACTCTCACATCTGTATATGACTACTGAAAAAACCATAGCTTTGACTATACAGACGCTTTGTTGGCAAAGTGTCTCTGCCTTTTAATACACTGTCTAGATTTGTCATAGTTTTCCTTCCAAAGAGCAAGTGTCTCAATTTCATGGTTACAGTCACCATCCATAGTGATTTTAGAGCCTGAGAAAATAAAATCTGTCACTGCTGTCACTTGTCCCCCTATTTGCCATGAAGTAATGGGACTGGCTGCCATGATCTTAGTGTTTTTTGAGTTTCAAGCCAGCTTTTTCACTGTCCTCATTCACCTTCATCAAGAGGCTCTTTAGTTCCTCTTTGCTTTCCGCTTTTAGAGTGATATCACCTGCATATCTGAGGTTATTGGTATTTCTCCTGGAAATCTTGTGAGTTCATCCAGCCTGGCATTTGGCATGATATACCCCGCATAGAAGTTAAATAAGCAAGGTGATAATAAATAGCCTTGTTGTGCTCAAGTTGTTCCATGTCCAGTTCCAAGTATTTCTCCTTAAGCTGCACACAGGTTTCTCAGGATGAAAGTAAGGTGGTCTTGTATTCCCATCTGTTTAAGAATTTTCCACAGTTTGTTGTGATCCACACAGTCAAAGGCTTTAACGTAGCCAATGAAGAAGTAGGTGTTTTTTTGTAATTCCCTCACTTTTTCTCTGATCCAGTGAATGTTGGCAATCAAATCTCTGGTTCTTCTGACTTTTCTAAATCCA